ACAAGCAGACAGCATTAGAGCACAGCTATAAAAGTCTTCCTTAGTATCTGAGAGGGATTATGCCCTAAAAATGCCTTCTCACACTGCTGGCTGAGTATATGTGGAGCTTAGATGACTAGATGAGATGTCAGAAGTAGCATCTTAAGCATGACTGTTGCTATATCTGTTCATGTCCATTGGCAAAATATCGATCTCCAGATGGATTTTTTTTTAAGTCAAAGTATTTATAGCAGTTATCCATCAGACATTTTTCTGTCAGAGTTCAGCTTTTAACTATAATAATACAAGTAAAATAAAAGGAACCACTGAGGGCAGCGATAAGCTTTGTACGGAGGTACTGATGTCAAGTAAGTCTGCTTTCTGTCTGAACTCTTGTTTCCCTCCCTCTTCAAGTCTTAGGATTCATAGGAAAATGAGGATTTTTAATTATTGTTTATATAGATTCCAAGGTCTCAAAGGACTGCTGTAGTGATGTACTCACAGAAACTTCCAGTTGACAATTCCTCCTCAGTATCCGTGACTGCATTAGTGTACCATCTTTTAAAATGTACATAAACTTAATTTTGTTTTATATCTTCCAAATTCTTACATAGCATATTGAAAGCTATCAGAAGTTGAAATCTGATTCCTGAAATGACCTTTTATTTCTATGCATTTGAACATACTGGTTAATAGCTGTCAAAAATGGCTTTGAGAGTAAATTTATTCTAAATATAAACATAACTAATCTTCTTCCTTGTAACCCAATGATTACTAACCCTGTGATGCCAAAACACCTCGTCCAAAAAGAATGACTTTCCATCCAAATTAGTAATTATATAAACCGAATCTTTTCCAATCTGTAAATATTGGAATGTCTGGGATGTCTAAATGAAGAAGACCGTGCGAGATATACTTCAAGTGATTCAGTAATGATCCTTGTGCTGGAATCCAGGCTCCAGCAAAAATTTTAAAGGGACTTCATGAATTTCAGTGAGACCAGATTTGTAGCATAGATATACTTGGAAATGGAGAGATTCTATTACAATTATTCCTATGAAATTACCATCTCACTCCTCAAATCATGCCTTTAACTGAAATGAGACTGGTGAGAGAGTAAAATACTAATTCAACCTCAATGCATTCAAAAAGTCGCCCCATTTAGAAAGTAATAGTCAACCTATCAGTAACGTGTTCTAACTTGATTTTGATTGAATTTTGGAGCGACGAGGATTAATTTTTTTTCTGGAAGTACTGGTTGAAACAATTCCCTTATGTGAGTAATTGACTTTAAAATAAAGCCCTCATTAAAATAGTGAAATCTTAATTGGCTGTAAAATATTTTTTACATATGAAAAGGTTGTAGTAAAATTCTCTTTTCTCCACTGAAAAATAGCAGCTCCTTGCATGGCTGTCCATTATAAACCAAGCTGTAGCAATCTGTACAGTAAACGTACCGGGAAACTATTAAATGTACAAGGGGAAACCAGTATTTCCCATAGCAGACAATCACCATAACAACATTTGTTTGTACTTTTTTTTCTTTTGAAGGAATCAAAACATAGTCTTCTGGAAAACTTGCTTCCTAGGAACTTTTTTTAAAAGGCTGTAAAGCCCAGTTGTCAGAAGTTGGGAAAAAGGAGAATTAAAGCTGCACATGCTTCTTTGTGCACATGGAGTGTTACAGTTCTTTGTGCAGATGGCTTGAATTCTCCAGCATTGCTTTTAGTTTTTGAACAAATGATTTTGTAACTTTTAATACCATGTTTTAACAGAGTGATTTTGGCAACTGTTACGTAAAAATATTTGTGCAGTGCTGTAGAGCAGAGTCCCCCCCAGCCTGTTTTTCACACCATATTCCTTCAGCTTTATGGAGGTGCTAAATCAATAGAGTTTTAGTCATTGTCCTGTAACTGCTGGAAATAGCAGGGGAATAGCACAAGCGTTTAATCTGTAGTCTGTTCAGTCTCTACTTGTGCAGCCAAAACTTCTCAAAATTAGCAGTCTGTTTTTTAAACAAGCTCAAAGGAGACCCCTTTGCTTTTACGTGTTTCTAGTATAGTTTCTCATTCCTTTTTTTCTAGAAGTTTCAGCACTAAACTTTTCAGGTACGAGATACTTGCAGAATGACTTTGTCCTAGGTTTAGAAATGAGAATGCATGTCTCTGAGGTCCAGCAGGTAGCTTATAGCTATGTATGGTCTTCAGATTTTTTTCCATGAATCAGTACAGTTAAAATAAGTAACATACTTGTGATAGTGATAAGTTCCAGCACACTTGCAGGCTTTGAATGCTTGTCACTTTCGGTAGAAGAGTTAAATATCTTTCTCTAAATCTGAATTAAGATACTTCATAAGTAGCAAAGGAGAGAGCTCTGTGATGATAGAAATTAAACATTTGGGCGCACCTCATATTAGACACTTGACAATTAATCTTCAGCTTTATGAATTTGAAAGTAAACAAATTTTTTATCAGTGATCAAGATTATTTTTAAGTGTTCCCAAGGTACCTCTACCCAGCTGTTACTCTGCTCATGCTTTCCTTAATCATCATTATAGCAAAGACAGCAAGAAACAGCTGTAACCAATGCATATCTCATTATCTTTTCCTTGGCAGGCAAAGCGTGCATCGTATTTCATATCTCCCACCCTTTGCTGAAATATATAAGCTATCTGTTATTTTTCATTCCTCTCGTATCTGACTCACGTCAAATCATTACTAAAGCTAAAGATTAAGCAATCTGAAGTAAGCGCAGTAGAAATTTCTTCAAGAACATAAAGAGCAGTACAATAGACAAACAGTGGAACCTAGTTAAATTAATCTTAGATCAGTCTCAAGCCAGACGGATTCAGGGCCTGAACTAAAACGAAGCAAGGTGTGTCACACCAGTGACTTCATTAGGTGTTGCAGTAAGGCTCGAGGCTTATTTCACGCTAGCTACTGAATACTCTCTTGGTTTTTACCTTCTTTCAGCAAGGGCTACACAGATGTAGTGAAAATCCCAGAAGGGGCAACCCACATCAAAGTTCGGCAGTTCAAGACCAAGGACCAGAGCAGGTTCACTGCCTACCTGGCCCTGAAAAAGAAAAACGGTGAGTACCTTGTCAATGGGAAATATATGATCTCCACTTCAGAAACAATCATTGACATCAATGGGACTGTCATGAACTACAGCGGCTGGAGTCACAAAGATGATTTCTTGCACGCAATGGGACACTCTGCCACAAAAGAGGTTCTTATCGTGCAGATACTTGCGACTGATCCAACTCAACCCGTGGATGTCCGCTATAGTTTCTTCGTGCCAAAGAAGCAAGGGCAAATGACTAACTCTGTCACCAGCAGTGGCAGCAGCAGCAGCAAAGTAACTCCACAGCTCATGCAACCCCGCTGGGTTACGGGGCCGTGGCTTTCTTGTTCTCGAACATGCGACACAGGATGGCACACCAGGACTGTCCAGTGCAAAGACGGGCATGGAAAATTAGCTAAGGGGTGCCTTCTTTCTCAGAGACCGTCAGCATTTAAACAGTGCTTGTTGAAAAAGTGTTAACCTGTGGTTGTGGTCTTCTTTAAAAGAGGTTTGATTAAGCCATTGTTGACATACTGGTATTAGGTCTGCCCAGACAGAGAGAAGCAAAGGCTTCAATGTACTTACATTCAGTCTCAAATTATGGGCAGAATCTGCCTATTTGGACCAAAAGAAGATGTGCACTGCTTTAAATAATAGTAGGGTGATCTTAATATGTCAAAAAACCTAAGCGTTAAAGTTGTTATGAGCCCTCTGTGTCTGCAAAAATATAAAATAAGATAATGCAAAAGAAGAAAAACTAGTGAATGGAGGATCCTGGGATATTTGAAGGTTACAGAATCATCTCCCCTTTTTCACCTACCTCTAATACAGTATGTCCTTAGAAAATGTCACGTGTACCCATGATACCACAGTAGCTTATTTTATAGTTTTGTAAATATCTTTCATTTGGTATGTCACTTTATATCACTTGGTTCTATTAAAAAATCAAAAGGCAAACTACGTAAGCAAAGTGATTGACCAAAGTATATCTGCAACCCTTGTGGACTTGGTCCATTCTTCAGGAAGGGCCGCAGATGTTTTACTGGAAAATGAAGAGCTTGCTGCTGGTTTTAAAAAGTAAGACCTTTTGGTTTTGACAAAAGGAAACACATTTTCATGCTAGGAATTTCCTGACAGCAGATCATTATTCTATGACAAATACTGTGTTTCCACCAAGAAGGAGCATTGCAGCAGCTTGCAGACGGGGGATCCCCACGGGTACGTCGCTCAAATAGCAGCACCATCAGCGACTCCTCACCGTGTGTATGTCAGTCACACACAGAGAGGAGGATTTGGCTGCTAGGAAGAGTTTGTGTACAGTTCGCTTGTAAACCTTCCACTAGTTCCAGCTGTGTCACAGCTTGGGGTCCTTGTTGATGAGCAATAGCTGCTAGCTTCTTCTTTCCATAAAACAAAGGCATACTGTATTTTGTAGAAACTAGTTAGAGAACCAAAAATTACAGGTAAGATAATCAAGTGTCTTCTAACTCAGATATTCTGAGGCTGTGTTCAACTGCTTTCTCTGTTATTTTCTCTATGGCTTCCACCTTGAATCTAACAATGTGTAATGTACCTACATCTTTTGAAGAGGCTATAAAGGTCAAAAAAACACAGCAAGCAGTTAATATTTTATCACTGTTTTGTCCATCATGTCTAACTCTGGTATTCATCTTACCAGCAAAATTTGTAACTATTTGTCTTTTTTGATTGTTTTGTGTGTGTTTGGGGGTTTGGTTGGTTTTTTTTTTTATGCTATAGAAGGCATTCATGTTTTGTATATCTACCACATTTGGGAGGAAGAGGGGTCACTAGGAAGTCAAACCACATCAGGATGTGGAAGACTTGCCCAGTAACAGTAAGACTGTTTCCACAGTACAGGCAGTGGCTGGTAATAGTTTTCATTGGCAGCAACTTCTGAATCCCATTAATGTCTGGTAGGAGTTCTGTGACCGAGGATGGGCATTCCGCCTTCTGCAGGTAACAGGTGGGGGCCTGACAGCAACCCTGTTAAAATCGCTTCCTTTTATACCAGCAGGCTTTGATTTAAGCCCTAGGATAACAGGTACAGAAAAGAAAGGGTTATAATACTGATGAAAATAGAATCCTGATCTTTTATTCATTTGTTCATCCACGCAGGAGAGTATGAGACTGCAGGAGGGTTTTCAGGCAAGCCTCACAGCTGTAAGCCAATGGTGCTCGAGCACTGAAATACCCCAGGCTCTTCTGAAAATCCCAATCATGAAATCGGTAGAGAAAACTTGTTGGCATATGTAGCAAGGGCAGGTCTCACTCCAGGCTGACACAAACATGTTTTTGCAACTGTTTTTATGAGCTCTAAGAAAGCATGTGATGATTTCAAAACAGCATAGAATTGCTACATCTACAAGTATGAAACCTGGAGAAGTATCTATTCTTGTACCCTCTTCTAAGTAAACAGTAATAGGGGCAGGGCCTCCTCCTCTGTCAAAATGAATTACCAAGGAATGTACTAATCATCTTTACTAATCATCTTCAGCTTTCTGGAATGGTGTGGCCTTCTTATTAGGAGTAGAATCTGTGCAAGGCTGTGGATCTTGAGGAGAATTCCCCACTTAATCTGTGATCCCACCCTAAGAACTGAGATCAAGGCTCTGAATATTTGCAGAGTTCTAGAAAGTTAAGATTTATGGCTTCTCTAACTATTACCATAAGATCACTTTGAAGTGTCTTATTTTCCTTTCAAGTAATCTAATTTTTATACTTATATATGTATCACGCATTTTCTAGAACCTCTCAAAAACCATCATGAGAGGAAAAATAAGGAGATTTAATGTGTCCCAGCGTAGACAACATTTGTCTCTGCATACAACCGCCGTATTAAGTGGCATTTGGTTTTCCTGTGTTTTATCATAATAGAGACAGAATGTGCAAATATTTGTGTTTGCATCATAGTAATAATTTATTATGTATTCAACAGAATGAGTAAAGCTTTTGGATGCTATTCAGGCTCCGGAGGAGCAATACCATACACGGGTATAAATTTAAAGCTTCCATAGATCAAGAGTATCTTTTTTCGTAGAAAGAGTTTATTTATAAAAAACAAATAAATATGAGAACAAACCACTATAATGATTTTTCCCTCTTCACCAGTGTAGTAATGAAGCAAATGAGCATGAGCAAAAAGCAGTTGCCTTTATATGGTGAGGGCGCAAAGGGGACACACCAAGGAAGCAACCCTGAAAGTGGAAGATAAACTAGGGCAGCCTGTTCTTGGTAACACTCGCTCCTTAGCTGTTCTTTGTAATGGGACTCCTGTTCCAAACCTTGCTTTTGTCAGTCAGCTCTCTCATGTAACTGATGAATGAAAAATTGGTGCAAGGTATGTGACTTACTTTGTCATTTCAACCTCTGTTCTCCACTAAGTTCCTTGCCGCTCGCCTGTTAGGTAATTGTTTACGTTACTAGCGAGTGTTGCCAAACAGGATTCATAAAATGCATCTAGGGGATGGAAGCCCGGAGTATTGCTCTTTGCATAAAAAAAAGCGATCGCTCCTCGGTGTTAAATTCCCTGCTGACTTTTTGGGACACATCTCCAGTGCCCTTAGGTGGAGTTTGACCCTTAAGTGTCGGTGGTTTTTAGAGCATCTGCTTTTCAAATAAGACATTCTCAGTAGGAAAAAGCCTATCGTCTTTGGTTTGGCCGTATGCAAGAAAGAAAATTGAGCTGCCCTCCTGTGGAAACAGTTTTATCACAAGGGGGAGAGGGAATAATTTTGTGGATTAATCATAACTGTAAAAAAAAAAAAAAAAGCAACACAGCACTGAAAAAAATAAAATAATTTATTGTTTTTACAACTGGTATGTGAACGGATGTAATGAATTTATTTATTCTTATTTAACAAAAATACCAATTGTGCAAATTCTATATTTAAAATGTTTTGCTATCGTCTCTGTCTCTCTCTTTCTCGCTCTCTTTTAATTTATGCTTCAAATTTATGTTGAAAGTACGCCTTGTGAGTTTACATAATGTATGGCACTGGTTATTTTTTGTATGTTTTTATTTAGAAAGCTTTCTGCATGAAACAGGAGTATATGTGTATACATGTGTGCACACTGTATAGATGTATATTCTTTTTCTGCTACCGTCTTTCTCTCAGAGAAGTTGTAGATTTTTAATGTTGTGACACCTCATGCACAAAGCTCCTTGTTACACTTCACGTCAAAAATCTCTCAACTAGCAAGTCATAAAGGTCTGTGGAGCAAAAAAAAAGAAAAAATAAAAAACCTGTGCTAGCTCCTGAAGAAGTCAGGCAACGGCCTCGCCTTGGACTGGCGTGTGCAGTTCCTGCTGCACCCCTCGGTGATTTAGCACCGAAGCTGGTAGGAGTCTCACCCTTCGCTTCCATGGGAGCAAGTTCAGGCTTGTCATAAACGGGAGTCCTCTACATGTGAACGAAGTTTCTCTGAGTGGTCAGGGTGGCAAGTGAGTCTTCTCTTATGCAGCTTCTTACATTTAAGTGAAAACACAGCAGAGAAACTCTTGTGAGCCTCTTTAAAAATACAGCTGAAACAACGTATGATTTGATTTATGAAGGCTGAACCATTAACAAAGCTACTTTTTCAGTCTTTCCACCGTTTATATACATACGTAAATATGTATCTATGGCTGTAAAAAGTCAAAAGCCCAATCTGGAAGGCTTTGCAATGTTTTGACTTCATTGTATGCCAGCTCTTTGCACCACGTCAGGGAAAGGTAGACACAAAAAGGCCAGCAAAGCAAGCGTTCCCAGTGAGTGATTCCTTGAAAATAACAATATCTGTTTGCTTCCGCTTCTCATCCAGTCCAGCTACTGCTGAACTCAGGGGAACTTGTATTGGGTCCAGTGTAAGGGAGAAAAAAATGCAACAGAGACAAACCTCCAGCTCTTCCACAGTCAGCGCCTTTAGCAACACAAAGGAATTCTGTAGCCGCTTCACCAGAGGGGCGGTGCTGCAGGGTGCAAATAATCTGTCTCAAACTGTTGAAAGTTACCTTGCCCATCAGTGCCCACATTCAACACCAGTTGAATTCCAGCCCAGCCTCTCTGCCCAGTGTTTGCTGCCATCCAGGCACTGCCAAAGACCCAGGGCCAGCCACAAGGCTTTAGATGAATTTGTGATGGCCAGGGGGTGACGCTTCCTTGCTGAAGACCCACTCCAAAATGCCAGGGAAGGACTATAAGCCTTGACTTCGACAATCTTTAGGGCAGCCTTTACACAGGCTTTGTAAGGACGGAACATTAACAACTGGGTTTTCAGCAATATGTTTAGGTGAGTGTTTCCCCGCATGCTAACGAGTGCCGTGCTGTTGTTGCTGAGGAAGATGGACCCTATGGCGAGAGCCAAAATTAGATTCTTTGAGCACAGGCTGCATTTTTCAGAAAAGAAATTGCTGGTTTAGAGGTTTTTGTTCCTTTTTTTAATTCAGTGATTAGTTTTTACAGAGTTGCCAGAGTGCATCATTGCATTCATACATGTCACTGGTAACATGTTCAAGAGGGTTTTTTACTGTGGCTACACCGATGCTAGCTTGTATAGTAAAGCTAGTTCAAAATTATTCTTTTGAATAACATTGCAAATACAAATATTTCAGATTATCACAGGTAATGACTCTTGATGTGAGAGAAATTGTCAGGTCCTCAGCTGGCACCGCAAAATGTAGCTTTGGGTTTTAGAAGTTTTTATTACAAGCACAAATTTTCAGTGACGGCATACAAAATTTGAAACACCCCAAACATATTTTCACTCTGCCAGGTGAGTGGTGTAAGAACTTACCTGCAGACATGCCGGACCAAACACCTTGATACGGCCCCGCCGCTCTGCACACTGGGGAGCTGCAGGTCAAAACCAAAACGCACGATGTCGTTTGCCCTGAAAGTTGTCTGCTCACAGCCACTGTAAGGACACTAAAAAACATTTCCACCTACATCAGCCTTGCGTAGTCTGTGCTGGAAGGCATGCATGAGCACATGCAGAACTTAACTGCGGCTAAATGCAAATGCCTGTTTTACTTGTGTGTACATAAGCACATGCATGTGTAGATATACACAAGTATTTGGGTGGCCATTACTCCCACTCGCGGGGCAGAACAGTTACGCCGGTTTTAGTTATACCTATGTAAATTCAGAGTAACTTCATTACATCATTTGGCTTTGCAGGAGCTGCTTCAGACTTACACCACTTTAAGTGACAGCGTAATTTGTCTTTTAATTTATAGGAACTGGTTTACAACAATTTATCATATGAACTGTGAAACTTTCAGATAGTTTATCATATGAAACATAGGGACAGTCAAGCATAAATGCATTGTTAAAATCCCATCAGTTACAGGAAATAATATACTGAATTCAAGGACATTGGAGACAGTGTATACTCCTGTATAGCAATAAATCCATTTCATTTCTATTGCCAGGTCATCTGCCTAACATCAGGTAAGATAAAATGAGAGAGGTATTGTAGGGAAGACTAATGGGAAAGCACAACGTTTGGTTTTGCTTGGTTTATTTCACGTGCCTCTTTATTGGTGTCAGCATATTCTGGGAAGTGTCACTTTGTGCGTTACAGATAACTTGGCTGAAATACCAGTACTCGTTGAAAAACCAAGATGTGTCACAAAACTTTTTTTTTTCATCCTAGTATGTGTCTACTCAAAGAGAGTTAACATTTTTAGAGCACTACTATGTCAGCCAGTTTACATCATAAATAATATGTTATGCAAAATATAAATTCATTTGAACTGAATTGTACAAGGTCTACACTGTACTATGACACATTGAAGGCCAATATTTTGTTTTGTAAACTATTACATATGTATAATTTACCAGTTGTAATCTGAAAACATTTGATTCTGTGATTTCAGTAAAAGTAATAAATATAAACTGTATCATAGGTCCAAAAAAATTTGTTGGATATGGTATGTTTGTGGGCTAGTGTTTGCCGTTTGTGCCTCACCAGAGACA